CTGGAATAATATGTTAGCACAAAATTTAAAGCTCTCTTTGATACCATTGAAGAGTTCTTTTTGTACCTTTTCTCTTACCGTACATCTTGTGTCTTCAGATACTTTTCTGTTAAAGATTGAAGAATTTGCCTATTTTTCCCTGTCATTCTATTTCTCATGAAGAGATCACTTAAGAACATTGGTAGGCTTAACGATGAGTTCACTAGTCCAGTAAGAGCACACAGTATTGGACAGAGCTCAAAAGTACGATTTATAGTCTCCAAAACTGTACAACTCACCCCCCACCCCCCACCAAAGAACACGCTACTTTCGAATGCTTGAATGTCTTTACTTTAAAGCCTTAATTTCCCTTCTACTTATCGAGCGTTGAAATCCTTGACAGGGCCCTGTTGACCTGCTTGATCGTCGTATTACTGTACATTATAATCGCGGCTGCTTGTGGGGGCATCACTCTACCATCCTGCAGATCAAAATAATCTGTCCGAGGGATCTCAAGTTATGCAGATGAATCCTTGGTTGCTTCATGGCTTGTTCATTTTTAATGATACAGTTGGTTCGAATTTCACCTGTGCAAGTGATGTAATGATAAAGTATGATAGTGTCGCTGTATTATAGTTGCCGGTTTCTTCTTTATTCTGTATATTGTAAATACTGGGAAGTTTGTGGCAGTCTCTTTCTTTCTTGTTGGAGTTCGGAGAGAATTTTGACACTGGCATGTAATTCTGAGAATATACTGAAAGGAAGGAAGGAATTAGTGGTAAAGTTTACTTCATGGACAAAGTTACGAGTAAGTAGTTTTCATTCGTCTTAGCATGTTGATAAACGGTTTAATTTTAGATAGCTAAAAATAAGTGATAGATAAACCGTTGAGAATGAAATCGACTCAAATAGCACTCAAGCGGAAAATAGCATGGATGTTATAAATTGGGATGTCACATGCAATAATCTTTTATAAATAATGTTGTTAAAATAGAACTAGATGATTTGACTAGAAAATCGATCCAGTTAAATGCAAAAAAATTATACGGTTGAAATGAAAATGGATGGGATAGTATTTTCTTTGAAAAATGAGTGATTAAGCTCAC